ATACCTCAGGCTTGCATCTAAATGCATGTCCAGAATCTGCTGCAATGACATGTATAACATGGATACACACTTCTTTCTCACATCTCCGAGTTTCTTTTTTAAAAAAATATTTAATTTTCTTAGAGGGTTTGTTTGTTTGTTTGTTTGTTTGTTTGTTTTTACCCTTATGGAGCTATCAACAGCGTCTCTGTCCTTTTCTACCTTTATGAGCTATACTTTGCTACACACGTTCTTGGGCTGCTTAATATATGCACCATTAACATAGGTGAGTCTGAGATTGCTGTGTGATTTCTTCTTGTGCCTCAACAGCCAGATACAGTAGGATGGTTGAGGTGAGAAGGGACCACTGGAGGTCACATGGCCCAGCCCTTTCTCCTGCAGGGACACTCAGAGCAGGGTGCACAGCACCATGTCCAGGCAGATCTGGAAGATCCCCAAGGATGAGATGCCACAGCTTAGGCCTGTGCTTTTTCACCTGTGGGATATCTAAATTCGTACTTCACTGGCACTAATTTTAGCTTCCTTATTGCATTTCTGTACAGAGATGCTGTAGGTAATGAATGGTTTTATTTTCCTTTTGAGATTGCTGTAACCAGGACATATTCTTGCTTCAGATGCACAAGATGTCTTGTTAGTGTGACACTGTAGGAACTCTGCTCTTGTTGGTACCTGAAGTACTGTATCCCTGAACTCAGGTATTCCAGAAACTGAGTCTTTGGTTGAAGTATTAATTGAGCTTGAGATCTTTTTGCTTGGACAGCAGCTAGTCTTAGGAAATTTCATATTGTTACACAGCAGATTAGTTTCCTTCTGTAGGCTCAGTGTTATGCACCTGCAGCTGCACTATAAACACTATATCCACAAGGATTGCAGGAAATCATTAACAGAGAAAAGGAATTATTTTAGGATCACTTATCTTAATCAATAGCTATTGAATTCTACAACTTCATCTTCTGCTAATGTAAATGGGAGGAGACAGAAAACCATCCATATGCCTAGAATTACCTTTCTGAAGTACTTGCTTCAAGGTAGTTTTAAAACTCTTGTTCAGAGATGTCTTTTTCAGGTTTTCTACTGAAATATACTTTTTTGGAGCAGATACTTTTTGTAAAGATATGGATGTATTAAATGGAAAAATTTAAATTTACCAGTCTACACTTTGCAGTCCTGTGCTGAACAAGTATTAAGTAAATGTCCCTGTAATCTTTCTCTCCTTCTTCCCTTTTAATCTGTTCCACAAATCTTTTGGTTTTGAGATTTGAAAGAAGAGTGCTTTAAGATTAGATGAGCATATGTGAATATGTTTGTTTGAGTGCAATAAGTCATCTGTATATGTGTGTATATTATGAGATACGTATCTTCCATTTTTGTGTCGAGGCATGTTCTCTTCTAAAATGCTTGCAAATTCCCAAGGCTGCTTTTAAAATACTATTTTTAAATGAGCATAATATCCATATTCTATGATTAAATGTTTACTAGCAGTACAATGGCATCGTTTTTTGACATTTTCTTTGCAAATCTAGGACACAGGTGCTCATAGTGTTATCAATAGCTTATCAGTGAATGTTGACACGTTTCCATTTTGGAGGCATTGAAAGAGAAAATGAGTTTCTCAGCATCACCTGAAAGTGCAGACAACAGTCAGTTAACATAGTCTTCATCTACTCAGAAAGAATAAAGAAATTGCATTACTGTGTGTTCTTATCAAGAGCGTTATAACGGAGTGTAATCTCATAATAAACAAATATTCTTCCTAATTCTGCTGTAGAGTCTTCATAATCTGCTGTTCCTTTTCATGCAGGAGTGTGGTCGTGCCAGTGAAGAAGCCTCCACCAGGTAGCCTGGCTGTGACCACAGTTGGAGCTGCCACAGCGGGGAGCGGGCTGCCACCGGGTAGTACACCTAATATCTTTGCTGCAACAGGAGCTACACCAAAAAGTATGATTAATACAACAGGTATTGTCCTTAAATATTTTTGTGACCCCTCATTTTTCCTGTCTGTTCTTTGGTTTTGTTGTTTTTAGTGATTTATTTTCTTTTTCAGCCATCTTTTCTGTTACTGTTTTTGTACTTTTCAAATTTAAAAAAAAAAAAAAGGAAAAAAAAAGAAAAGGAAGATTAGGTCTTGGCCTTTGTTAGTTACAGAACTTTCTCTTGGTTTATGTTTACTATCTTTGATACTGCACAATGGACTTGTGCAGCCTTTGAATAAGTTGAGAATTCAAGTGAACTAGCTTTTCCATGTTCTACAGTAGAGGATGCTTGTGTGATATATACCAACAAATACCTCCTTATGCCTCAAAGAACTTAAAGGGTTCTAGGTAAGCGTATACCATATATTGTTGACTTCAGTTTTTTTGGTAATTATTTGTCATATTTTAAAAATCATTCCATGGTTTTTGGAAGGTTTTTCAGTAAGAACCTACCTAATTTAACTCTGGTTGTGTCTTCTCAGTAACAGTTTATTGTGACCTATAGAAAGAGTACAAAACTTCTTAATTATTTTAAATAGTAATAGTAGAATTGTCTTTTGTGAAACAGCCTGTTGACCATGGAGGCTGTGTTTTCCTATCATAAATGAATCCTTACTGTGAGAGCAACTGATGTTTACTTAAACTGCTTTGAAATGTCTGGCTTTGCTATGTTTTCTTTCTAAACTAAGCAAAAGCACTTGAGAGAAGAGCTCTCTTCAAGGATATCACAAGTGCTGTCAGAGGTTGAGAAAATGAAAATCTCCCTGGGGTTGCAGAAAATGAGGGGAAAGCTTTTGGCATCTTTCTACTTCGTGCAGTAACATGAAGACGTTCATTTTTTTTCTTTCCTTTTGCAGATTACCTTTAATATCTGGTAATAGAACTTTCTATTTATTTAAGGATTTAAAAAAAAAAAATCTAAAAATCTAATAATCCTAAAGCAGATGGGAATAATAGAGGCTCTAAATAATGTTATCATTTCTGTAAATGCTTTCATTTTGTGTAGCCACTTCTGTTAATCTTGAATGGATTTCCTTTTAGGTCCTCTTGTATCATGCAAAAAATATTCTACAATGAAAATCTTGTTTTCCAAATTGTATTGAGTAGTGTGAGCTTTTCAGTCTCCTCACTGATTAAAGATCTGGAGTGTTTTGGCTGGAATGTAGTAGCTCTTCTTTGTAAGTAATAGCATTTAAAAACGAGTCACGTCCTTGATACCACTTCTAGTAGAGGACGGTTTTGCAGATACCATGGTTCACTGTGGTTGAAAAGGGTTTTTTTTGTTGTTGTTGTTTTTATTCTTTAAAATAGATTTTATCACTTTTTTTTTTTTTTTGTGGTAGATTTTTGTTTTGTTTTCTTTTAGTGCTTCTGTTTTTGTCTCCCAGTCTGTGGATTAGCTTGATTTATGGGAAAGTATTGATTAGATGGAACTCCAGCAAGTATTAGATCTAATTAGCCAGAATTATATGCGTGTTGAACTTCTTGTGATCTTATTTGGTAAAGTCTTTTATGCCTGAATTCCCCCAAATGAAACATACTGATTAGTTCTTTTAAGAAATAGTTTTAAATGTATTTCCTCTCCAACATATGCTTAAAGGTTTGAACTTATTATCAACACTTCAGAAGTGCTAAGTGCATTAATGGCAGTAAAAGTTAGCCTAACATAGACAATGTATAAGTATTAAATTAAAATGCTCATTTCACAATTTTTAACTAAGTTAAAACAATTATCATATATGTCAATTTTTGAGATGTAGATGTCAATTATCCAGATGTTTTCTGGTTTATATACATGTAGACTCTGCATAATTATCTATGTAATTAATGATTTTAGAGTAATAAAGAGAATTTCATTAAAGATCAGAGATTTTTACTTTGATGAAAAAGGAACATTATACAGTTTTTTTAGAAACACTAGGTGTCCCCCCAAACCTATTTACAGCTGATTTTACAGTATGTCACAGATGCCTTGCCAATGTAATTTTATATTTGAGACCTGTTCTTTGCTGGACTTCTGAAGAAGGTGTGGGGTTTTTGTTTCTTTGTTTGTTTGTTTTAAGTTTTTTGTGGATTGGAATCCATGTTTATGTTCTGTATGTCATCGCTGTCACAGTCAATGTCACTGTCATGATGAAACGAGATGAGTGTTACTGATGCCCTTTCAATGTGTTGACTGTTTGCGTTGAGAGATTTTCTTCCTTCATTTCTTTAAGAATATGTTTCTGCTGTTATAGAATTGATGTCTGTAATTCCTGCCCCGATTCTCAACTCTGTGTTAAACATATAGTTCTTAGTCTGTTTGGCCTTCTCTGCTGGGGGCATTGCTTGCTGAATTACTGACCAACTGCTGCTTTTAGACAAAAGCCATAATGAAAAAAAAACTTTGGAAGGAGAGGAATCTATCATTACTTTAGTAGCACAACAAAGCCTAGTTCATTTTGATATTGTTTTGAACGTAACTGGTTTTAGTTGGCCAGACAAAAGTCAAATCTTTATCTAAGGTGTTTTTTTTTTTCGACAAAAAATATTTTAAGGCAAAAAAATATGTATTTGTCCCTCCTATCTGAAAAGTTTTCACCATTACCAGCATTTGACCTTGTCTTCATTGTCAGATGGCTGTTTAAGCAGTTAAGAAACTGTAAAGGCTTCCCTGATCTTTTATTTGTTATTTATAAGAAATTGAAATATACATATATATATATATATATATATATGCGGATATTTACGCCTGTATCACAATTGCTAACACTAAGCAGCAACGAGGAGTTACCAGTTATCATTTAAAAAAGTGTTGGAACACTGCAGTTGATCCCTAAGCTTCAGTTTCTGGGTTCTCTCATCTCTCATTGCTAACCTGGCTAAATTTCCCTCATTGCTTGTCACCCTCAACTCTGGTAGCACGGCCATCCCTCCAACTACACCACTGTTGCTGATACCTATGTTACCATGATGTATTACACAGTGACTGTGCAGTAGAACACTGACAGCATTTATCAGGATTCTCTTGCTACCGCTCGTGGCCACTGTATGCCTTTTCTGTTTTGCTTCAGAGAGTCTGAACTCACAGTGCCGTTTCAGCAAACATGATAGATTGGCATTTAGAGTCTAAGTTTAGCCCTTAGCTCTGACCCAGATCACATAAAGTATAAATGTACACTCTGTCTGCATCTTTTTTTTCTGAGCAGCTGTTCACAACCCATTGAAATGATACCCTCGTTGCCCTCCCTGCTTTTAAGGTCTAAAAATTCTTCTTGACTTGAGGAAAGAAACTGAAAAAATAAAAATTAGAATGTTATTGGAGTATTATTATTCTTTTGAACACTGGTTTCCACCATTACTTGCTGAAGGAATGTGTGTTTTCTATTTTCTCTGTTATTATTTAAATTTATATTCTATTTTCTGCCTATAGTTGCAACTGGGCAGCCAAGAAGTGTGTATATGTAGAAAAAAATATAATAGTTAAGCTTCTATTCTCCACTCAAGCTCATCTTAAATATACCTCTATTTTAGAAAGATCTTGCTTTACATGATGATGTAAAAATATTTTCATCTTTGGAATGTAATTTGGGAATAATGAAAATGAGGTAAGGATTTATTTTGCCTGACTTTCAGTAGTTATTTAAGTTTATTATAACTAGACCATCAAAATAAGGTAATAATTTGTATTATAGTCACATTGAATGTTTTTAATTGTTTTAGAGTAAATAACATGATTTCTTTACTTAAAAATAGATTAATAAGATGAGCTATATTGAAAGTCTCTAAAAGCTGTATTTTTTCAGACTGAATTAAGACCTGTATTTTTTGGGGGACAGGTGCAGTAGACTCAGGATCTTCTTCTTCCTCTTCGTCATCCAGCTTTGTGAATGGTGCTACCAGCAAAAATCTCCCTGCTGTCCAAACTGTTGCTCCAATGCCAGAGGATTCAGCTGAAAACATGAGGTACACAAGCTCTAACTTTTACTATTTCTCCTCCTACAACAACCTCATACATACAAAACAGTGTTAATAAAAAATAGAAATACTTAAAAATGTGTTTCAGTTTCTCTCATATGCTCTACTGTAGTTATTTGTATAATTCAATGGATATTTACAAACTTGTTCAATACTAGGAATGTACAGACCATAATAGTACTATAATAGCACTTCACTGAAAATTCTAACTTCTTTGAACTATGCCAGACACTGAAACTTTATTAAGAATTATTTTTTAGTTGACCAGATCTTTGCTATCATTGAAAGCAAAAATCAGAACGCAAGCACAGCTGGGCAATAGGGCACTGGGAAGTGGAGAGAAAACCTCTTCTGAGCAAACAAAAGACCTATTTAGGGTGGAGAGGGTGAAACGAGACATGCATTCATGTAGCTAACTAAAAGGCATGCTAGATCTGAGTTGGTATAGCAAGGGGCACATGCCATGGAATAGCTAATACTTCTTCAGAATTACCCTCTAAAATTCCTATTGCTTGTCTTTCTATACTAAGGAATCTTGAATTTGGATAGTATTAAAATTTTCTTTGCATTTAAAAATATCTGCAAGTGGAGTGGAGAAAACCTTGTTAATTTTTTACAGAATATCCTTTAAAACTCCTAATTCAGTCATGAAATCTCCAGAGATTTTCCAAGTGATTGCAGGGTGCATTATAAGATATAATAGACATGAGAAGCAGCTGTAGTATCAGATCAGGCTGTCTGTCCTCCTTTGCTGTTTTTTGTGCATATGTGTGAACCAAAAATTCAGTAGATGGGCCACCTGCTTTCCTGAATCATTTTTGGGTTTCTCTTTATGCTTTTTTCTTAATTCTGTTTGTTATTTTTGAAATCAGAGGACCAGGACTCCAGTCAGTTTTCAACATGTACATGCACCAGGGATTTATATCAAGGCAAACAAGACGTTTTTCTTCTTTTTTTTTTTAATCCATTTAAATATTAAATTCTGATATTTGATATGTATTTTTGAAGAGTGATCTTTGAACTTTGATCTCATGCTTTCACAGAATACTATCCCAAATTTCCCATTAATAGATCCATAATATACTAAAACCATCAGCAATCCATTTAATAGCAAGGTGTTTATTATCATCCAGGGTGTTGATTAACAAGACATCCAAACCTTCTGTGTCACTGAATTCTTAAATAAAAGTTTTTAAAATAAATTTTTAAATAAAAGTCTTAAATAAAAGTTTTTTCAACATAAAGTTGTCAGAGTTAAATGAACCCTAAAATCAGAACGGATTTAAAATCCGTTAAGTAAATTTGCAGTGAAAAGTTATAGTTTAGAGAAGTCTTAAGTAATCTAGCAGGTTTTTTTTTGTTGTTGTTTGTTTGTTTTTTTAGTCTCTAGCAGCAAAATCTTAGTATAGATTCATGTTTCAAATGAAAAACTCAAAGGTAGTCATCAGTTTTTTAAGTAGATTGAAGAGAAACTCTATCATAAAACAAAGACTGGTGATATGGAAACCTCCTTTAGAATATTAGAAAATCAGTATCTGAATTTGAAATGGGAGGGCAGCATGTTGAAAGAAAATAAGCTATAGGAACTCAATGAAATCACTTTAAGTTATTCAAGGAAACCTTCCATTTTGTTTATAATGTCATCTTTTTTTTCAAATGTAGGAATCTTCACATGACCAAAATGAAAAGGTCTTTTATAGTTTGCAATGGTAGATATTATTGCAAATTTAAAAGTCAGCGTTCGTTCTCTTATTTTCTATTAATAAATAAAACATCTTCCTATTAATGTTCCTTTAAACACAATAATATTTTTGTATTGTTATTCCAGTGTGAAGAAAATACTCCCTGCCACAAGCAGTCTGAAAAAAAATATATAAATTCATATATTGGTAGACCAGAATATGTATGCACTGTAGTTTATATCTTTTGAGTAATAATTTATTTCTCTCATGTAATGCTGCAAGTTTTTAATCTTGGCATAAGAGTTTCAAAGGACATAAGTGTTATGCCTCGTCAAGTTTTTAAATTGAAGAGGGCATAAAAAAAGAATCTAATTGGCTTAATTTGTGATCACATTGCTTCTAAGTTGAAGAAAAGAATGTTGATACCCTTGACTCCTAGGCTAGATCTTTCTCATGCATTTTCTGGTCAATTATTGAAATACCAGATATGTTATGTGAAAGCTTGAAGAAAAGAATCAAGCTATCTGTTTGATTTGATTGCTTCACACAAATAAATATTTTTCAAGCTCTCAAACGTAAATAAAAAAGTAAGATGAGAAAGGTGCAATAGTTACACTTGAATATCTCAGCTTCCTATCATGTTTAAATGAGAAACTTTAAATGCTAAATATTAATTGATGTACAATAAAATGAGAAATGATTCCTCTAATAATGTTTAAAAATGAGAATAAAATTTGTTCTTGTTTTGGAGTACCCTGTAAATGCTGTAGAATTTGAGGCTGAAATGGCTTTTTTGTTTATGTCAAACCATTTAAGCACCATAAAATCTAGTTAAATTACGGTCTTCCTCTTCTCTAAGCAACTTAGAGCAACTTTTAGAAACAGGTGTGGTTTGACATCATTTAATTTCCAGTTTTTAATCTTTTCTCAAATCATGATCTCTGTTTTTCCACAGTATCACGGCAAAGCTTGAGAGAGCCTTAGAAAAGGTGGCCCCTCTCCTGCGAGAAATTTTTGTTGATTTTGCCCCTTTTCTATCCCGAACATTATTGGGCAGTCATGGACAAGAGCTGTTGATTGAAGGTACTGTTTTGTTACAAGATTATATTTATTTTAGCTATAAGAAGATTGATATGAAAAATGTTACTTTTCAGTGATTTTTCGTAAGTAAGAGAATTGGTTGTTAATGTCTCATGGTTTAACTTACTCTTATTTAACTGTTTTTTGTTTTTTAAAGTAATTTAAAATCTCAGCTTCTGTTTCCACCTTTCCATCCTGGAATGCAAAAACCTCTCCATAATACGCTTTTCCTCCTCAAAATACTTTTGCATTTTTCATCCTGATTTTGAGAAACTGGTGGTACCATAAAAAAAGTGTATTGAATTTGCATGGAAGAAAATAAATTGAAGAATGTGGTCTAACATTATTGATACATGCATCTGGATTTGGTATAGACGCTGTTTGCTCTGGTGGGTCAGTTGGTAAATAGTTATCCCAAGGGAAATTACTAGCAATGATCGATTGGATTGATTGATTAAGAAAAGTTCTTTTAATGTATAGTAATGTTAATGTTACTGCTAAGCAGTTATGAAATTTGGGAAAATAAATTCTCATAAGTAAGGCAGTAAGTAATGCAGAAATTATGCTAAGTGTGAATAGGGTAACTTATGCAGGAAGTAATGAATCAGTGCTAATGCACACAAAATAGTGAATTGACATGAGCATGCACTGTTCTTACATCACACATGCAGAAGCATACATTCAGCCAACTAATTTTTTTTTTTTTTTTCATAATTATTCTTACACACAGTATTGCTTTTCTGAGAGGAAAAAGTCATTATGACTTCAAGTTCAGCCAGGGGAAGTTTAGGTTGGATATCAGGAAAAAACTTTTTTACAGAAAGGGTTGTTAAGCACTGGAATAGGCTCCCCAGGGAGGTGGCTGAGTTTAAATACATCCAGTGATATGTTTAAAAACTGTTTGGATGTGGTGCTCAGGGACATGATTTAGCAGAGAGTTGTGAGAGTTAGGGCAGAATGGTTAGGTTGTGGTTGGGCTTGATGATTTTTGAGGTCTTTTCCAACCTGAGCAATTCTATGATTCTGTGATTAGTGCAAAGCTTATAATGTGTGAAGACCTATGAAAAAACAAACAAACAAACAACACAGTTTGTGTTCAAGTGTCAAAACTCCTTCTACTATATATGCATTTTCTCTAAATACTTTATAGTCTTTCTAGGGTCTTTCTTGTTCCTCACATTGGCTCTCTTTTGTTCTTAAAGCTACAAATATTTAATTTTATGATTAAAATCTTTTAAATATCCTTTTCCTTTTTTTGGTTTAGATTTTTAATACAAGGAATGGTAAAGTAGCTTTATAATTCTCGGAAACTTCAGATGTTTTGTGTTGTTTATTTCATAGCTATGAATAAGTTACTGCTCTCATTTTAATGAGCTACTCATTGAGAACATTGAGATGACTGTAAAAATGTTTCAAGGATTTCATCAAGTCTTTCATTTCAATAAAATTAACTGCAAAATTCATAGCGGTTTTACCCTCTTCTTTTTGACAACTAATTACACTTTAGTTTTTATACAATATGATAAAATTGTCTTCGTTTCACCTCAGATCTTTAATAGATTAACAAGTTCTTGAAAATTAAACAGGGCTCCCACAGTTCTCTGCATATGACATGATGAAAAGCTAGATGCTACAGGAATACCGTGACTACATGGCAGTATGAGTTTATCTCATTGCCTGTTTCAGAGATGTGGTTTTGTTAGCTATAGCATTCTTCTCATACTCCACTTGCCTGCCTTTCAAAATGCTGTCTTCTGTGACTCAGGCATCCAATTCATTCTCATGAGTCACTGGTTATGAACCTAACATGGAGTTAATTCCTAAAAAACAGTACTTTCACCCCAAGATACTGAAGTAGCAATCTGTAAAGAACAAATCCATACACAGATTAAATTTGTACACCACATGCTTCAGGACCTGAGGGTCTGTTTTCTCCTTCTGAAGTAGTTGGACTTCTTCACAGGGAACTAACAGAGCAGATTTCAGAGTCATTATGTATTTCTCATCTTTGCTGTCTTCATTGCACCCTTGATCTCAACTAAACCAATCTTGCTTAGTTAAATTCTACTTGAAAAAAAGTGCTAAATTCTTTCCTAGTCCATTACCTAATTTACTTTGATAAATTTCCTGTCATTGTTTACTGAAAACTAATGGTGGTTTTACCCCTCAAATGTGCTCTTTGTATAATGACTGCAAAACAGAGATTATTCGTAGAGTGATTCAAGATATGTGAGTACACACAGTTCCTGTGGGGCATGGATAATTTAAACTTGATTTTTTTTTTTTCACTGACAGTAGTATTTAGCTTGACAGTTCTATATGAAATAGCTTAATTTGTGCTTTGTGTATAAAAGTTGTATTTACAACAATTAAGAAGGAACTAATAAAGTCTGAAGGTGCTCTTTTTTTTTTTTTCAAATTGATCACCACAAACAAATCTATTGCTTTATACTAGGCTTGCCTCTTTCATTATTAAAGCCTAAAATATCTTCCCTATTCTTGCTGCCTTTCAACACCTGCATATGGTATAAAGAATTTTCTTGGTCAAATTTTCCTTAAATCTGAAAATTTTCAGACAACCTTGATGGCAAAATGAAGATGTGTGATTTTGAACAGAAAAGAATTTGTAATACTTCTAAAGCGGGTTAATTATGACAACTTTCCAGAATATCTGATGCTGTCAGGTAGATGTTGCTAATATATCTACTCGGAGAAATATATACAGGACAGTCATTATTTCACTTAGTCTGTCAGACAGCTAGTCTGTCCCAGAGTTCCAACAAAATATCTTAAATTCAAACTATGCCACTTCATTTTCCCTTAACTTGTGTCAACATTCTGTCCCATGGAAGACTTTCACAGAGGTTTTCTTGAAGGAAATGATATTCAGTACCTTAGCAATGACTTCTTAACTTTTGAATGGAGTTGAAGTGATATGGCTGCAATGATCTGGTCAGTTCTAGACCAAATACCAAGACCACTCTTATTCAAAATCATTAACAATTCATGCTTATTTGTGTAAATTGGTAGCAGAGGAATCCTATCACGTTCAAGAGCCCTATCTGATACTGCAAAACATATCTTTTTTGTAAAACTCTTCATCCATTTACTTACTGAAATAGTTGTGGGTTTTTTTTTTTTTTTTTTTGTCCTCAAACAAGTTATTTTTTCAAAGTATCTAACACAGTTTTTCAAATATTTCATCAATTTTCCAGAGTATTTTATACACAGAAAGTGTCCTCAATGATAGTTTAAAAGCGACTGATTTGCAGTCAACTGCAATAGCTTCAAACAAAGTCTACCAAAAACAGTCCACTATTACTGTGGTTCATCAACAGAACAGGTTCTTTAATGCCTCAGAGAACAGAAGTTGCAAAGGTTAAAATTGTCCTTATAGAATCTAATTGGAAACAAACATGCAATATGTGTAGGTCACGTATTTAAGCTTAGCTGTACTGATTGTGGAGTTTCATTTGACACTTGCACAGGTATGTTTTCACTAACTCTAGTTTCCATATGGTCTGCAAATACCTTCCATGCAAAGTGCATTACAACATTCTAGCCTTTAGGTGAAAATGTTACAGGCAAGTGTAATGTGATCTGTATCTGAAAGAAAAGCTATATCCTCTTTTTGTCAAGTGCAGATGAGTAAAATTGTTTTCAGTACAGCTGTACTGAGTGTCTTAAGCTGCAATAAATCCAATTGAAACACAGTCACATCTGATCCCTTCCTTTCCCTTCTCTGAGATACCAAATAAACTTTACCAATGCTTTTCATTTTCCTCTATGATTATTTAGGTAGACTGTCAGCCAGATATGCCTTCTCCAAAAGAGCTCTTACAAATTCTTTGGCGCACACTTAGTATGTTTCTGATACATACACAATTCAAATCAGATGAAACAGAAAACATTTTGTTGCTGATAGGAGTAGAAAATTTTTCTCCTCATTAACTCACCACATGGCCCTATGAAAATATTCAATAGAAGTGGTGAAGGACTTGCTTTGTATGGTATTTGACAGGCGATTTCTTGAAACAATCAAAAAATTGACCAAAACATACCTTTGGAAACTACAGATAGAACTTGAGTGCTAAATGGCACTATTTTAAAAGCTTCCAAAGATATCAAGTGCAACATGACTGTGACATCTACCAATGCAGGCACAATTTGTTTCTAGTTATCTCAATCAGTACAAGTTTTGTATTAGGAAAAACATGATAATAATTTTCCTGGGAAGGAAGACACTTCAGAAGCACAGATGCTGTAATGCAGAGTGAGTGCGTGCACTTTCAGAACATTCCTTTCCTGTTCATTCTGCACTCTCACTCTGCCACAAAGAAAATATTTTTGTTTGTATCTTCATGTTTTCTTTCAACTAATAAGACTGTAGATAATTCTTCCCATTCTGAGGCACAGCAACTATCAAACAGAAAATTGTTCTGAACAAAATAAATGAATAAATACTAACTAGTAAGGCAGTAAATATAAACATAGAGTTTACTTTAATTAAAATTTAACTGCACGTAAGGAAAAACTGAATAGTGCTAAAACTCTGAGCTACTTTTTTTTATCCTACTTTGATACCTTTGTTAATAGTCTTGATTACAGTATTGAATTGCTGCTGGCAAAGAGAACTGACTAGATAAAGCTATAAAAATGAGAAGAAAAGGCATTTTGCTGAAGAGAGATGTTGAATCTTTTTTTTTTTTTTTTTTTAATAATTGCATCTCAATTTCAGCGTAGCCAAATGCTGAGTCCAATCTCTAGGAAGAAGGAACACAGACATAGAAGATAGGAGATGAGGGAAGAAGCCACCAAAAGAATGTAGGTATTGTTACAACAGTTAGTGTACTCTGAGCACTTTTAACTCAGTGCTCGGGCAACAAAGGCACATCCAATCCCTGGATGCTCAGAAAGAGTAGCTATATTTCTGTGCACAACTTCAGCCACTCTACTACCATCCGGTCCTGTAGTCAGTACTCCAGGATTGATACACACATACA